AACCCTAACCATATTTTTGGTATAATAAAAATAGGCTATATTCCCAGAGAAGCAAATGCATATCATTTCAGACAGGTTCAGGGACAGCAAAAACAATTTTAGTTGAAGAGCCCGGAGGAATCCCGCAATATTAAACACAATATTAAACACAAGTTTACACAAAGTAATTGAGAATACTTCTCCTTATAATTTAGCCCAACCCTTATAATCTCAGATTATAATGCAAGGTTTTTCCTTTAAACATTACACCATTATGCTATTCAGTGATAAACAACCAAATTATTCTGTTACTTTAATTTCAGCAGAAACTTTTAGGGAAACTCTACGATGGCATCAACAAGCACTAAGCGGGATGGGAGGCGGTCCAGGGTTTATTTTCAGGGCTCTGAGCCCGACCCTCCGTTGTCCCAAGGGCTGTGTGCCACTTCATACTGTGACAGGAGAATATCAAACTCTTGGTCTATCAGAGAGCTGAAGCCTGGATCCTGAAAACTGCTGAGACCCCTTAGCTTGTGCTGGCCACGGAGTGACTTGATGGGACCCTGCAGTCGGTCGTGTGCTTCTCTGTAATGGTCCGGCGCTAGCACAGCCAGTCAATAACCCCACACCTTCCTGATCACCTCTAATGGGTGACCCTTTCCTCGCTCTGCAGAAACAGGGGGGCAGGGGAGGTATCGGGGAGAGGAATAAACCACGCCAAGAGCATGCATTCGACAAAGGAGTACTTCCACAGCCCTGTGGATGTACTTTGTACAGTTTGTCCTGTTTAGAAAGGAAGTGAGTTTAACAGAGAATCCAACTCAGACAAACAGTACTCTAGTTTTATTTGGAAAAGCTGCAAACCTGTTACAGTTCACTTGCTAGTATGAAAAGCAAGCTTGAAAAATGCCACTGTTGAGATCAGTGAATAGTGGTTTAAGTGGAGTAAGAGCAGTCAGGCTGAATAACACAGTGGAGTGGTGTGGAGGGAAAGAGAGCAAATGCTACAGGCCCCCAAGTTCTGAATTTTAATCGTGACGCTATCGTGGACACACATGTGTCTGACTGACACCTTGCGCTACCAGCTCAGGAGCATGTGTAGCTTCCAAGTGGCCTTCTGGCAGCAGTGAAAAACTTAGCCTGGAGTTCCAGGGACTTTTTTCCTGTTCACAGCGAAACTATCTGAAGATGAGATTACTTTTTTATTTAAACTTTATTCCTAAGCTGATTTTGTTCTGTGAATTAAAATTCCCTAATCTTATTATTCTGTATTCCCCCCCTCGCCCGGGGCTTCAAAGATTCCTTTTTGGTTGCTTATACAACCTTACTGCTGCAGTACTCAATATATAAAGCATGGTATAAATGCAGCTATTATTACTACTTAATGAAAACAGAGAAGTTATTCATTGACCAACCCTTTTTTTTTTTTTTTTTGCATTTCTAATAAACATATGCGATCCATATCTAAGTGGTGACAAAAAACTGTGACCTTGCATCCTCATCATGACTGGTATTAAAAGACTTTTCATCTGCATTCTCTGCAAAGCAGTATGTCTCATCATTACCTAGTCACCAGTCAAGTTCTTTTCCAACATTCACTGACACGGAGAAGAAATTAGCTATCTTGGAAATGCCACATTAAGGAGCAAGTGAAGAGTAACCAGCAGAAAAGAAAGAGGAGGAAGTCCCTTCCCCCTCAGTTTTGGCAACCGTCATGTTGGTCATTTTGCTTTGTATACCGTATGCTGGCTTTTCATCGTGCTTTGTCCTTACGCTCTCTTTTAAGGAACAAGCTCTTTGGCAATGAATAGAGTCTTTATATGCTTGGAAAACATTTCTAGCATGTTGTAGACACTATTGTAATATAAATACTCATTGTCTTCCAGAGTTTCCTTACCACCACCACCACTCTTTCTGCAGCTTTGTCACTGGACAACAACCTTCATTAAACTGTTTTGTGCCTCTGGTGAAGTGCTGTAATCATAAAATACGGCAAATGCTTCACATACCCGAAGGTGGATTTTGTTGAACTTGGTATTTCTGTTGACCATGCTGGGGAAGAGTATGTCAAGACATTACCAAATGTAAAAACCAAGACCAAGACCTTTAATTGCATCCCAAAAGACAGGTGGGAAAGAACAAAAGACTTTTGAAGCCAAATTAGCCCATTAATTAGTAACTATCATTAGGTTTTAGCCAGGCACCATATTTGTACCTTGGTCTTTTTCTTATTTGTTTCATAGTTGGACTATTGAGTTTAGGGTCTGTGACTTTCATCTCCATTATGTTTGCTGAAGGAGTATGCAACAAATGCAAAAGGTTTTTAACTCTTCAGTTTCTTTCTGGCAGAACGTCATTGTTTGCATTTCTCAAGTTTTTGAAAATAACAACCTTGACTCTCTTCTCATTTAGCTCGGTTTAACAATGCTGCAAGCCCAAGGAATTCAGCTGCGTTAATCTCAGTTTAAAGCAAGCCAGAGGAATGCCTAGCCTAATATTTCCGACATACCTCATATACCTGTAGTTAAAGAACAACTCTCATTAAACCTAGATTTAAAATCTGTCCACTTTATGTTCTGAATTTAAAACTTGTTTTTGACCCACTTCCTTCTGCCTCTGCCACTGTATTTTCCTCCCTTTAAGGGCAATGAACAAAGAAATTACTAATCTGCAACTCTATCTGTTTTTAGTTCCCAGCTTTTCCAGTTCATTTGGCTTATTTTTTTTTTTTTTTTAATTCAGCCTTGGAGCTCGCTGATCACACTCACCTTGAAATCTCATCCTTTGGGCTTTCATGACCTTGTCCTCTCAGGATTCCTTCTGTCTTTCTAATAATTCACCCTGTTTTTCCTCCTCATTTTCTGTGTATGTACCACAGGCGTCTGTAGCCTTGGCACACTGTGTTTCTCTTTTTACATCCTTCACGTAGTACACGCAGTGCCCAACATTCCTCCAAGTCCTATTGCTATGTCAATTAATTCTGAATTCAGTGCCATATAGAGAGATGATAAGAAACAAACCATTTTAATTGCGTACATAAAGCCGTCTCACTGTAATACAAGTATATTACAGCCTTAAGCTTCACAACAGCCTGCGAGGAGCAAAAGCATTACTATTCCTCTTCTGCAGTGGTGAAGAAAAACCGACTTGTCAAAATCACACAGAAGTCTGCGGCAGCCTATGGGTTACCAACCAGAGGATCCATTTCACCCTTCTACCTCCAGATCTGTATATTGGCTCATGTATTTGACACTTTGTGGACTGTAGAACGGATTCGCTTAACTTAAGAGGCTGTGCACACCAACTGCAGGCGCTGCCTCTCACCAGCCCAGCCCAGGGAGCACACACTTGCTGCCTGTTCACCAAATGGTTCTCCCGGGGGGGGTGGGCAGGAGAATCCCCCAGCCCGGGAGGAGTCCTTGCTCCGGCTTACCACGAGGCTCTGAGGCATCGACCACCATGTTGGGCTGTATCGCAGGAAATCGTAGAAAACACTCCGCTTCCCTAACATCTACCACAAGCAAGCAAAGCCACGGTTAAGCCGGATCGATCGGAGCTTACGCATCACCTCAGAGGAGTCCCGGTCCTCATGTGGCTTCTGACAGCCGACGTGACTGCGCCGGGCCCTTCGTCCTTCCACCGGCGCGGCTCTGCCAAACCAACTTCCTTTTTCCTGTCAGGGGCTTTGCCATGTTGATCACGGCGCTGGCCCCAGCTCCTGGCCTCTCCTCCTTTCAGAGGCCACATCACCTGCTCCTTCTTCCTGCTTTTTGCTTTTTTAACCGGCCTGACTCCGGCCTTTGTTACCGCCGGGCTAGGTGGGACAGAAGCCACAGGTTATTTAGGAGGGAGCCAGCGCGCATCCCCCTCTGCCAGCTATCCGGCGGGGATATTTTGGGGCCTTACGGGAGTGACAACACCTGGCCCTCCGCTGTGGCCGGGTGCCGCCGCCACCCTCCCTGTCACTCGCGGCGCCACAGCGCCCGGCTTCCATGTCAGCCCGGCTCCCCTCCTGCTCCTCGGTGCCCCCG